CTGAGCATTGCACTTTTTTGATAACTTTAACTTGGTAAATCTTCACCTTGCAGCATTGCTTTTGAACTCTTGCTATCATGAACCGTCACTTTTGAGCTGCTAGTCTCCGACAAATAAACGTTATCAAATAAAATGCAATGCTCAGTCTCTGTACAAATCTGGAAGCCGATTTTGTATCTAGAAGAGGGCATTTATGAGTATCAAATCTGTAAGCCGATGATGCCTATCATTCATGCAGTGTTGCAAAATATTATAAAACTAGCGACCCTACGGGTCGCTAGTAAGTGGGTTGGGGCAGATACATTGATAAGTGTCTATGTGCAACTAACAAGGGAAGCGTCATTAGTCAAAGTAGCCTTTCCAGATGAGACCCATACCGCTGTGAAGAGCATTAAGCGATGATTCCAAATCTGCCTTCCAAATCTGCCAAGCGCCTTTGGACACCGAGTTATGGGCGTTTTCCAGGTCAAAAAGTTGAACGCAAAACTTCACAAAATCACCCAGATTTACTCAAATGGTCCAATGTCAAGTATCAGGACCGTTTATGCAATGGATACATTTGTCTAATATGGTAACACTTAACATTGCTTTATCTGAGCACTGAAAAGATTGAAACAATCGATTTTACCTAAATTCTGCATTCATTTTTCGTTTCAAAAAATGGTCATAACTCGGCGGCCAGAGGCGCTTGGCAGATTTGGAAGGCAGATTTGGAATCACGCTTAATGCTCTTCAAAGCTGATGGGATTCTTCTAGAAAGGCCACTTCGACTATTGACGCTTCCCTTGTAAGAATAGCAAGGGAATGAATTTTCATTTCAACGATCTTTTTCGCAATGCAAGTAGTAACAGAAGCAAGATCAGGCTCAAGCAAACTTTTTACAGCGACTAACTACCAAATCATATACGTGTTCTTCTTGCAAAGACCCAACCCCAGCTCCTAAAAATGAAAATTGCCTGAGCAGTCATCTGTGCAGAAAGCTGATTTAATGCGAAATTCAGACTGACTTTCAGGAATGTGCGACGGTAGCAAACACATCGAGCTTCGCGATCATGCACAGTCCTACACTCTCCTTATAATATCTCGCGAAGTCATTTCTTGAAGCGAGATTAGGTCCGCTCAAAGCTTTCTTTTGGACAATCTTAAACATGTCCTGCCTCATAGACCGAGACCACGAGATCAAGTCCCCTATCCTTTTTTGCTGAAAGGGGCAGAAGTATGATTTCTGCGAAGTAAAAGCGGTTAAAAGTGGACTTAAAGCGAGCTTTTGTTTAACTTAGCATTAAAACTGAGAAATTATCAACAGAAACGCACTGCCGCATAAAGCTCCTGCAGCTTTCCTCCTTTCGAGACAAATTCTCCTCTGCTCTTTTTGATTTTTTTAAGGCAGAAGTACGATTTTGTTTTCGCAATTCGATCTCGTATATCATACTTGTGGCCATTGCTGTTAGAATCTTGTTGCCGTAGATTGGTTATCCTATTAGTGCTCAGTTTCCGTTTCGCAGTTGAACCATATTTCGCCAAAGTATCTTTGCGGTGTGATCGTCTGACTTTGAATGCGTCCAGTTTCTGTAGTGTTTATTTTATATGCATGGTTCTGCTTCAATTATATCCTTGGCCGGTGCTTATCTTGAATAACTCTGTAGTGTGTGAAAGTGGAACTCCAGATTAACCGCAACAGGGAGGAAAAAGCGTGGAAGATGGAAAGCGTGGGCGTTTGCGCTTAGAATACCAAGAATTTAATGATTTTGCGCTTCTATGACAAAAGCGTCCAGCTACGGCTACAGGCTGCGGGCGGCTACTGCGGGCTGCTACGGGCTACCAGCGGCGGCTGCGCCGCGGTATGAAGGCACTTTTATGGCAATACTAAAAGATATAAAACTCGCTGAAGCTTGAGATCAGCCTCCTCTGCTTTTCTGCTTTTGGATGCCAAAGCATAACTTGCGCGAAATAGGCGTGGTTAAAATGGATTTCAAGGACTTTTTTTTATAACTTATTGTTAGCCTTGAAAACAAGGAATTGTTCGGAAAGATGTCATGCGGCAGTAGCGACCCTAGTGTCGCTATCAAGTGGGTTGGGGCAGAAGGAAATGGACCTCCATTTTCTTAACGATTTTTGGCGAAACGTAAATATGCAGTCGTAGGAGTGAAATCATGCTCTCAAGCAAACTTTTTACAATGGTAACTCTCAAATCATCTACGCTGTTCTCATTGCAAAGCTCCTTTACTTTTCCGCCATTGAGAGCACAAGAATTTTTGCTTGAAGTGACTTCAAGAAGGTTTTTTATAACTTAGCCTTGAAAACAAGGAAGTCTTAACAAAAATGTCCCGCGGCAGTACGACCCTACGGGTCGCTAGCAAGTGGGTTGGGGCAGATACATTGATAACTATCCGTGCAACTCAAAATGGCAAGGAAATGGACTTCCGTTTTCTCCACGATTTTTGGCGAAACGTAAATATGTAGTCGTAGGATTAAAATCATGCTCTCGAGCAAACTTCTTACAATGGTAACTCTCAAATCATCTACGCTGTTCTTCTTGCAAAGCTTTTTTACTTTTCCGCTATTGAGAGCACAAGAATCTTTGCTTCAAGTGGATTTCTTTAGGAGGTTCTTTATAACTTAGCCTTGAAAATAAGGAAGTCTTAACAAAATATCCCGCGGCAGCACGACCCTACGGGTCGCTAGCAAGTGGGTTGGGGCAGATACATTGATGACTGTCTGCGTGCAACTAAAAATAGCAAGAGAATGAATTCCCATTTTCTCAACGATCTTTTTCGCAATGCAAGTAGTAGTGGAAGCAAGATCAGGCTCATTTCAAGATTTTCAAGATCATTTCCATTTTCTCAACGATCTTGAGGCAACGTAAGTACGTAGTAGTAGAAGTGAGATTATGCTCTTAAGGAAACTTTTCATGGTGATAACTCCCAAATCATCTACGCTCTTCTTCTTGCAAGTATCCGACCCAGGTACCACAGCTACTAAACATGAAGATCACCTCAGCAGTCATCTATGTAGAACAGCTTTCAACCCGAAACTCAGGCTGACATTCAGCAACTGTGCAACGGCCGCTAACACATCAAGCTTCGCGATCATGCACAGTCCTATACTCTCCTTATTACGTCTCACCAAGAAACGGTCATTTCTTAAAGCGAGACCAAAGCTTGCTCAAAGCTTTTTCTTGGACATTCTTAGCAAAAATGTCCTGTCGCATGAAACCTCTGGGTATTGAAGAGTGTATTTCAAGCGAGCTTTTGCATGATTTAGCATTGAAATTGAGAAGTTAGCCTAAATGTGCAGCCGCATAAAGTCCTTTGAAGCTTTCCTTTCTTCGAGACTTATGCTTTTTGAAGCAGAAGTACGGTTTTCGCAATATAAAGGCGGCCAAAGTGAATTTCGAGCCTTTCCTGAATTCAGCACTGAAACCTAGAGAATCATATCAATCTCCTGCCGCATGAACACTAAGTCTTTTCTTCCATTAGGACAAGCTCCCTCTGCTGTGTTGTTTTTATTGGCAAAAGTAGGGATTTCACAAGATAGAGGCCGCAAGAAATAAATGCAGCAAGTTCTGTAAATTTTCACATTAAGTCTAGTTGGAAGAAATGTTTTCGGGTGGATTTGTTGAGTCTTTCCTTTCAGCAGACCGAGTTTCCTCTGCTCATTTGTTTTTTGAGGCAAGAACAATATTTTCACTTTGAAAAACCTTCCAAAGGAAAGTATTTAACAGGTTTTTGTGAGATTCAGCATTTAATCCAAGAAATTTAGCAAAATGTTCCTAAAAATTTAGGAAAATGTACTACCTACCGCATGAATCGACTGATTCTTTTCTACCAACGAGACGTAGCTCCCCCTGTTTTTCTATTTCCAAAGGCAAAAACAATATTTTCAAAAACAGGCATTCACAAGGTGTATAAGCATTCAAAAGGTGAGGCTTAAGCGAATCCCCGTAAAATTCTTATTTTCCTAACCTTCATATTGTTCAGAATCATAATGTGCTTTTCAAAAACTAATGATTGTAAGAAGTTAGGCAAAATAGGAAGCAAAATGGGCGACATTTCCGAATTATGATAGCAACTGGGGGTCAAACATTTGCACTAATTCGGGAGTCGGGAATCAATATTTCGTTGCTGTTTGAGCTCTGCACATGACACGCACTTGATCCTCTTCTTGCTTGTTTATGGATGAGGAAGTGATCTTTGACGAGTGTTGGCCATATTTGTACTTTCCATGCGGAGCAAGCTCTATAATTTGCACTTGAAGTGCATACAGTCTGGAAACTAACTACGAACGCCGTCAACTCTACGTCGCTGTTATGCAAACTATATGGATCCTCCCTGAGTGCATGCGCTCCCCAGTACTCTCTCAGCGTTTCTCTGCACATCCGGGTTAGTTCATGTATCGCAGTTATATTTCGTCGCCGCATAATCTGGACTGCCCTCATTGTCGCGAATCTGCTGTAAACACTGTAAGAGAACACATAGCACAACGGTAAAGCATATGGGGGAAGAGAGTACCCTCATCGCATCTTGGCAGTTACCAAGAGATATTATAGTAAGATACTGCTTCATCATCAACATTTCTCTTGACTCAGCTCATTCCGCGCAGCTTATTGTAGAGGTCCTTTCAACGAATAAAGCAACACATAAGTTAGAAATTGCTCCTACCGCGAGTTATACATATATATTTGAAATTTTAGCCTTGAAGCTATGATAGAATGAAGTGGCTACCATTTAAAAGTAACTTCCCAATGAAAAACATTTGCGATAAAGATTTCAGACACATAGTTCACATCAAGTCAAGCTTAGGACAGAGTTTTCAACCTCTTACACACTTATGCATTTCGACATTCACTGACGCGGATTTTCTCGAAAATTTCCATCGTAATTGTATATTAGTTGAAAGCGCTCATTATCTTAGCGATCACTATGCCAGATGAGTCAGAGGACCTTAGACAGGACTACAACATTTTTTGAACTCATTATAACAAAACAATCATACTTTGCTGTTACTATCGATCTCCTGACATGACACTATACGGCTAATCGGTTTTCCATCAAATCGGACATAACCGTCTTTGTGAATTCCGTAAATGTTTCGTTGCAATGGTCCAAAAAGTAGACAGTTGATGTTGAGCTTGGATTATAACCAAGAGATTGTAGAGCTGTTTTCTTTAGTTTGAGAGTTCCTGAAAAAGTCCCTCAAAGTAAATTTTGCAAAAATTTCTAGTTTTACCTGTTTTGTCTATGTCGTCTGTAATTCTCACAAAGCGAGGCACAGCGTAGGAAGGAAGTGCAGTGGTAAATTGCCTATATAGTACGGTCAGCAAGCTTTGGACGTCTGCTCCCGGACTTGGCGAGACTGCAACCATTCCCGTTTTTCCTTCGCAACCTCCAATGAGTTTATTGTTTCAGGCTTCTAAGCAGTTCAACTTATCGTTCTTGCAAAACTACCTGGGATTTGAACGCCGTAAACGATACAGTCCTGTATGCCAGCGATTCTCTGTAGCACTGCTTCCACCTGAGTTGTCGACACATTTTCGCCCTTCCACCTTTATAAAGTATTTATCGAAATGCTTGTAAATATGTGTGATGATGACCTACTAAGGGTCAAGAGATGCATGACGAAGTCATTTCCACATTATACAATACATTTGAAGTAAGTCGAAAAGCATTTTTCTTCGTTAGTAGCTTTCGTATAAGCAAGAAGTAGGCAGTGGAAATTACGAGTTGCACAAGACATTATGGGCCCGAAATTTACAATTCTTGGCACATGGATAATGCTTGTTAGGAAAGATGATCTCGTAGCGTATTTATGTTAAGACGAAATGTTAATAGCACGTTTGAAATGAAAGCAGCTTACCGCCATCGTCTATTTCCAATTCTTTGTTTTCGGCTTTTTCACCACGATACATGTTGAGCAGGGAGTGGCCAGAATTTAACCCAGTCTTACCAAACATGCTGTATTTCATCGGACTTGTCTTGAGACGCTGATCGCAAATATATGTTTATTATCTGCTAAAGGACTATCTGGGAGGAGTTATGAGCATTTAAATGTGCGATCTGTCAAGTGTTCTGTAGCGCATGTTCCACGAAATAGCTTCCAAGAACACTTAGGGCCGCATGCACTAACATCCCCGCGGGGAGGGGATCGCAGCTTAAAAGAAAGCTTCATATTTCGGAACTCCAGATACCTGCATTTTATGTTATGTACCTATCCGTAAGTATTCCTACTACCCTTCACCATGAACGTGTTGAAGAGGAGCGAGAAGCTGTACGAACCGCATTTTCCAGCTTTTGTATGATCCCTGATGATCCCCGGCGCTTTTTTTAAAGTCATTTTTCTTTTTCCGAAGTTAACGAAAAACCTCCAAAGTTGTGCAGATTATTCAACCCGACAGTGCTAAGCATGATAAGAACAAATGATGTTTTGAAGTCATGAAATTTTCGATAATCCACAGGTCGAAATTTGAGGTTTACCGAAAAATTCGACTTTTCAAAAACTCATTTGTTCTCATCAGCAAATGCTTAGCACTGTTGTGTTAGATGTTCAGTACAGTTTTGGTAAGTTTTCGTTGACTTCGGAGAAAGAAAAATGGCTTCAAAGAAAAGCGCCGGGGATCATCAGGGATCACACAAAAGCTGTAAAATGCGGTTCGTACAGCTTCTCGCTCCTCTTCAACACGTTCATAATGAAGGGTAGTAGGAATACTTACGGATAGGTACATAACATAAAATCCAGGTATCTGGAGTTTCGAAATATAAAGCTTTCTTTTAAGCTGCGATCCCCTCCCCAGGGGGAGGTCAGTGCATGCGGCCCTTATTCAGGTTTAGTAAATGTACTTCTTCCGTGTAATTGAAACAGCCATAGCCACTACAAATCTCGTCAACAGGCTGCCTTTCAAGGAAACATATTCCTCGAAACTCAAAAAATTCCTCATATTTGAACGCTCATGACTTTTTCCAGACAGTCGCTTGGCAGATAAGTCCGAAGATATACAGTCTGTTTGAAATGGCTGGGATAAGTTTTGCCATTTCTTCGTAAGCAAGGCTTGGCGTTTTTGCAACCTTTACAAAAAGCTCAAGATACTTGAGTTTGAAAACACGATCTTGCTACGAAAATCATAAATCTTTGGTTCTTGAGTCAAGGTTGGTTCATAATGATCCGGAAATTAGGGCACAGTTACTTACAGCGCTCTAAGCTGTGCTAGCGTTGCAGCCGCCCGCATGCGGCATAGCGGCGCGAGGCAGCTTCAACCGCTACTAACATAAGCACGCGCCATACTTGATCCTATTTATCTGCTTGGTCAGTTCATTCCCTCCTCTCCTGGTTAGTTCTCTGATTTGACCAATAGTGAAGTGTACGAAGTGGATCAAGCGGATCGAGCGGATTAAGTACGAAGGGTACCTAACGTTTTTAATAGCAGATATTGCTAGTTTTCGTATCATTCTCATACCTTGTTTCCTCTTGTGATGAGAAGATTTCGAAAATTGGATTTAAAGAATGAACGCTTTTTCGTTTCGAATGTTACGCAAGCTATCTATTTTTGAAGCCGCTCTCATTCTGGCACACTGCTTCTAATTCGGAATTTTCTCACCAAAAGCGTTTTGAGAGTGCTGGCTATGTCGGAATTGCAGTGACTTCCTGAAAATCATGAAGGGTTTTGACAAAAAAATGAACGGAAGAAGAGACGCGCAAGGAAGAGAGCTTTCCACATGATTCGGCGCGTAGAAGCATTTTTGAAGCTCGCTTCAAGTTTATAATTCCACGCAAAAGAGAAAGAAGTGCAAAATTGAGACGAAAACGAGCAAAACAAGCAGAGAAAATTGTTGACGGTCAAAAATTGCTAATTTTCTCTGCCCATTACCGCATGCGGGCAGCTGCAGCGCATGCAGCACAGTCCTGGCACGGGGGGAGGGGAGTTGCCCACCAATATTCGTTTCTCTTTTCAAACTTCGAGCGATGTGCTGGATTTGTGCCGGAACCTCCTCGTCTATGAATGCAGCCTGAGGAACATGAGAATGCACTGAGAAGTTGTTGTGGTGGTCCAGTGCGAATTAGGTATCATGCAAGTATTGCACTTGAGCCTAACAAAGGTTAGAATGATCTACGGTGCAAGGTAGGCAGTTTTCTGGCAAGAGTGTGCTTTCGACTAAGCGAAATGTGTGCTGGTTAGGTACGAAAAAAATTGCAAAGCATTCTTCCGAAAGAGGGGATTTTCTAATTTGTGAGGTGCTTAAACTGTTGCAATTGTTAAAATTCATTGGGTGTCGTATCGCATGTATTAAGTTGTAACAGAATTAATGCAGGTTTTTCGCGCACCTTTTTCGAAATGCTGATTTAGAACGGGAAAGTAATTTCTCAGAGAGTTTTGCATACCATTTGAAAGCTCTTTTCTTCTAATTTCTTATGCACTCTTTCGTTTCAGCAGAAGTGAATTTGTCTGGAAGTTCTAAGCCCATGAATTTGAGAAACCAATTCTCGAAATTCTTTCTTTCAATAAATCTGGCTCTAAAACCATCAAAGGCAAACGGAATTCGCTGCAAATTTACACAGTATTTTTCAGTGAGCTATGTTACAAAGTGCATGCTGAATCATGAATTCTGGAAACACCTAGCCAAGAAATTCCAGAGCAAAATTCAACGGTCGTTGTGGTCCGTCTGCCCTATATAAAAATCCCTAGCGCGAAGCGACTGCGGAGCTTCCCCCTTATATAGGAAGAATATATTTCAGACATTTATGGCTGAAAAAATCGGGGGCCGTTTTCCCTATTCAGCTTCAAAAAAATTCAAAAGTTTCAGAAAAGCAACTTTTCAAATTCTCAGAAAAGTGGAAAAAACGAGTACTTTCAAAATTTTTTCGAATATCCTCTCGCAGAGAATTCTTTTTCAATTCCGAATTTAGCGCTGCTGCACAACCGGCCATAGGCTACACAGTGAGTTATATTTGCGCTGCCTTACTACATTTGATAGTAAGTTATGGTTTCTCAAAGTAAAGGTTTTTCGAAAAAATTCTTGGCAGATTTTGGGTTGTAAGATCTTTCTCAATGAAGCCACAACAACAAAATAATGCATACTGAGTTGAAAAAGGTTTGCTAATTACAACAATTTTTGTTGTACACGAAAAGACCATTTGTGTAAAAAGTTATAATGATTTAAACACAAAGTTCAGAAAACCTGCATTAATTCTGTTACAACCTAATATAATCCTCCTGTAGGTAGAGGTATACAATAGAAAAATAGAACTGGAGTAATAAGAATGATAGTGGGAAAGGCCCAAGGTGAGATTCGTTTCTCTTTTCACATTTTACATTAAGCCAAATAAATTTTTGAAAAGAATCTTACCGAAAGGTATCTCCCACTCGATCCTTGAAGTAGAGATACCCAAGTTGGTCCCAGTACAATATGTCACCTGAAGGAATATTGAAAATTCCTGTTTAGTGCTATCTGCAGGCTACCTGACAAGAATATGGGATCCGATCCTGGTAACGGCTCTTTGATGATTCTTTTGTGGGTCTCTGCCTCATCCACATAGCCCTCGAAATGGTAAAGTGGGTTGTTCTTATGAATTGTGCAAGCAACCAGACCGGATTCACCTATGCAAGACTTTCTCTTAAAATAAACGGTAAAACGTTTTCAAGCATGTTACCACCTGGGTGGATAGGTATGCAATATCCATGATTGTCTCTAATCAGCTCGCCTGTTGCTTCATCAACCTTGAAAAGTCGGATAGGGTGGACTGGAGTAGCCCTTTCATTTATAGTAAGAAATCCGCAAGAGCCCTCCTTTCCATCAATGTTAACTTAAAAACTAGCTGTTGTAGATTTAAGTGATGTTGTAAGGGAAGATACCCTCTTCAGGCGAGCAACAAGGACGAACAAACAGATTTATTAAAGAACAAAAAAAAACGGGAAAAACACACGGCGCCACCTTCCGTGGCGTCGGAACACAATAACAATGAAAAAGAGATCTGGCCTGCGGCCTGCTGCCGTTCGATAAGCGCGCCTTCGATCGCCTCTGATCTACATCGGCCTTCTCTTTAGTGGCCATGGGCCTGACATGCCCTCCCCGCTTGGAGACATCGTCCTCGATGTCCTGATACGTGGTCTGTAGACGTCCAGTTCGGGCAGATGAGCATCCACTGCTCGCCTTCTGACACATTCGTAGATATACTTATTCATGGCGGTTCCCACATAACTATTGAAGAACTGCGCGCCTCCTTCCGGGGCTCCTGCCTCTATAAACAGCTTCCCTTTCATTCCAAAGTTGCTCGCGGTTGTGAAGACTTGCCTCCCCTTGTCGCACTGTATCAGCGTTTCATCAAAAGTCTTCCATAGTCCCGATAGTTCACGCCACAAATCATGGTTCTTCGACGTTATCGGTGGCCATGCAGTAACTATTTTTCCGCCCTCCTCAAGGTATTCCTTCGCCGCTACCATCATCTTCTGCGGAACATCATCGGCTGGATTACTATCCAATGGCCACACTATTACCCAGGCTTTGTATGAGCGCCATTCTTCTAGCACGTCAAGCAGCCTAGCGAACGTCGTTGCTACTTTTGTTGCCACTCTTCCTCGAGTGCCATCTCTTTCCATGGGGCTTCCTCCCTCGAAAGTGGCGTATCCAACTGGTCCAGACTTGGTGGGTAGCTCCTTCGTGGCCTGTCCCTCAATCTCTCGACGGAATGCTTGTAATGCTTCATTGTAAGATCTCTCAATAGAATGCCCTTCGATCTTGGCGTGTTTCGTAATTGCGTCCGTGTTGCAAAGAAAGTCTGTCCAGTCGATGCAGGTGTCGTAAGCGAGCTTCAAGACAGCTTTCAGGGCGTCTGCGTCAAAACATATGTGTCCCTCTCGATGAAACTTGATTTTCGTCCCCATATCGATATCCCTTCGGCTGAAGATACTGCAAGCGAGCCAAGCGGACCATAGGTTTTCTATGCGTTCTTTTGCCACTGCGCCCGGAAAGTTAATTCCTTCAATATCTCCGAGTTTTCTGTCCTTGAAACAGTCGTCTCCGCATTTGAAGAGCAGATGTCCCTTTTCGAGTGGGCTCAACAGCGACACACCTCTGAAATCATTAACTTTGACTTTGCATACCTTACTCAATAAAACTTTTCTTTTTCTACCCCTTTTCCCTCTCATTGTCTGGGTGTCAACTCTGTCATTAGGTATGTAGCCTGGAACTATTTTTAGCTTATCGAACTGTATCCTTATAGGATCCGTATTCTCCCCTATGCGCGTGATTAGAGCTGAATTATCGCTAGTATCCAAAACTCTAAATGGGCCAGCCCAGTCCGAAATAAGTTTTGGGTGGGTGCTTTTGCCTTTTTCCCTTGGTGCCAGGGCCTCCCGATCCCCTACTTTAGGATGCCGACCTGGGTTCACCTTGTTCTTGTTGTCATAGCTTCTTTTCATGTTTCCTCTAACTCTGTCATTGTATCCTTCTACCCTTTCCCGTATGATTGGTTCTCCTATCCGTTTAATACCCCTCTCTGTGCTTTCATTCATGCCGACTTTGCAGCTTCGTATCTGATTGATGATCTCAGACACATTGTTTCCATACGAAGGTTGCGCGGTTTCCCCACTGTCCTGCTTTCGTGGGCAGTCCCTTGCAAAATGCCCCATTTGGAGGCAGTTGAAGCATCTGGGTTTCGTCCTCTGTTTCGAGGTTCCTGCATACGCGTGTCTCTCTTCCTCGATTTGCATTCCCCTGCCTTGTTCTGTGTACTGGAAGTACGGGCTGATTTCTTCTCTGTCTCTTGCCATGTCATATCTTGCTGCTCTATGTACTTGTGGCTCTTTCCAGCCTTCCGTCTTGTTGAGAACGGTGCGCGGCTTCCCTTCCCAGATCTCTTTTGCTCTCTGTATAGTGATCGCCAGTTGCTTCACTTCGCTGTATGCTTCGCTAGGCGGTACCCTATGTAACGCTGCTATCAACTGAACGTATTCGGGCCAATCCCTTAAGTTATCCAGAAGGATCTCGGCGTACTCCACCGAGTTTTCTTCCAAGGCTCTGTCTGGATGAGCCGATCTCCCTATCTTCTCCAAGGCAACGCAGAATTCCGCGACATCTTGGTGTGGTCTGATCCTGAGGGATCTTAGCTCAGCCATGGCCCTCATCCTGTTAGCTACCGAATCCCCTGCTAGCAATTTCCCCAATTCTTCGATCACTTCATCAAACCCTTTACTTCTTATTGTGGGTGCTAATGTTCTCATTACATTCTTTGCCTGCCCACCCAAGTGATTATCACTTAGTATATCTACAAGGGTGTCCGTGTCTGTGATTACTTTAGCATACTTTCTTTTGAATTTTCTCACAAATTCCCCGAAATTTTCGTTGGGCTTCCCATAAAAAACACCCGGGTCCGGACAAGAGAGGGATTGAACATAATCTAGAAATCGCAAATCGTCTTGCTGACCTTTGGGTTCCACGTCCCTGTCCTTTGAATGCAAACGCGGTGATCCCGACGCAGAGCTGTTCAAGCTTTGTTCGAACAGCACTCCAGTCCGCCTTGGATTGCACTGCCGGGGCTGCAAAGCATCTTTTTGATAAGCATTCTTCTCTATGTTTCCTGCAGTTTGCATTGACTCACCATGTTTGGCTTTTTCCACTTCACCTCCCTTCTTTTTGAGGTCTTGGATGGCTGCCGGCATCTGAAGCACATCAGTATTTAGCATATTACATGCTTGTTCCAGAATCTCCCTGTTTCTCTCAGCCACCCTTACAAATTCTCTCCAGTCCTCTACTGATTGTATGCCTAATGTTTTCATGGTTTCGGCCATCTCGCCCCGTTCATCCTCTATACTACGACATTGTTCTGCCGTTTCATTGAGTTCCTCACTCAATTTTCTCACTTTCTCACTTATGAACATTTCGTATTTTTCTTTGTACCTGGCTGAAATTTTGTGCTCTGTCATCTCATTTGCTATCTCCCCAGGTACCCTTTCTAAATCCTTTCTTATTCTCTCAATCCTCCTCTCTATGCTATCTCTTGCATAGAAACTCACATTCTCAGCGTCCATGTGCTCGTCCACCGCTTGAGCTTCTTTGCTCGGCTCCATTCGCTTTCTGCAAAAACTGCTTTAGTTGTGTTTTCCCTTACAAAACACGACGAATTCGCGTTCGCCCTTACGTGTGGCGAAAACAAAACAACGATAAGTTCCACGTTCGCCCTTACGTGCGGCGAAAAAGCTCAATTTGCAGAAAGCGGCTCGGCCCCCATGTAAGGGAAGATACCCTCTTCAGGCGAGCAACAAGGACGAACAAACAGATTTATTAAAGAACAAAAAAAAACGGGAAAAACACACGGCGCCACCTTCCGTGGCGTCGGAACACAATAACAATGAAAAAGAGATCTGGCCTGCGGCCTGCTGCCGTTCGATAAGCGCGCCTTCGATCGCCTCTGATCTACATCGGCCTTCTCTTTAGTGGCCATGGGCCTGACAATGTGGGTTTTCGATTTACTCAGATTTGTAGTTCCTTCGGTTGAACCGTAAAATTCGGCTATTCGCTCAACTTTGAACCTTTCTTGGAATTGCCTCCAAATAGTCGGTCTAAAGAAGTTCTTATAAATCGGTTAAAAATTTGCTTCATGATCACCTCAACCCGTTTCCCATCAACAATCGAACACTGTGTTTTTCTTCATATGGCGACTTCTCAGTCATAAGTAGGTACCGAAGCAGTTCTCCAATATACTGCGATACCTGCAATAGCGTTGAGTATTCGCATAGTTTACCGATTAATCGTGATTTTTTGTCCAGTGGATTTGCCTGGGATTAATCTCGTAAAAAGTGTCTAGGCTAGTCAGGTTTTGGTGAAAGCACTTTCAAAGTTATGAGGACAGCTTACAGATATAGAAGCGAAAAAAGGATCGATCGCGATTACTTTTCTAGAATTGGAAGACGTCTGCGCCGACGTCTGTCTCTTTGAAGAGTTTCGAATGTCGCGAAAACAATATAAAACAGCGAAATATCACTTTGCAGTCTTCGGCAGCCAAAACACCTGAAGCGCAAAAATGTTCAATTTTCCCGCTCAGAGCAAGGTAGTTCACAGAACTTAGTATATTACTAATAATTTCGAATTTTAGTGCACCTTCACAGGTTTTAATTTACCTAACTCAAAACGAAAGTTCGTCAGGCTCCTTTTGCTCAGATCTCCAAGATCTGTCCTGGAGATCTGAGCAAAAGGAGTCACGAAGCTTCCAAAAACTTAACGAATTAGAGGGAATTACAATTTTCCAGAATGAAGCGACAAACATCTGAAACGTTCTATTTCCACCACTATATTTTTTCGCATTATTCGAGGTGCATTCATTTATAAGTACGCATGCAAAACGCCTTCTACAGCTGTGTGCACACAAGTAACAAGCACTAATAACACTTACTGTGCATTTGTGTACCACACAATCTTTCCAAAAATTCTTTGCAGAAAATTTGTCTCTAATAACACATGTTGCACCATGGACCACCGTCTGACCGACTCCTTTAAATAATAAGGGTTTTTTGTCAAAATTCGAATCCTAAGAAGACCAAGTATTATTAGTCCGCTGCTTTGTCACTATCAGAATTTCAAATCTTACCAAGTGCTCCTGCTGCTGAGTGGTAAAGCGGAAGACAAATATAAATTCGGTCTGTTTTAGGCCGTATTCCAAAGGCAACTTCACCACTTGTAGCCATGCAAAAAAACCTGCAAATGTACATTTCAGATGCAAAAAATTCAACTGTTCAGCTGAAAAGAGATTTACTTGAAGTGCTTGATTATCGCTGCCTTTGGCATTCCTGTTGTACCAGATGTAAATATGTAACATAATGGATCTGAAAGTGGTTCTCGCTTTGTGGCAGATTCTAAGTGGCTTGATAGTACCTTGAAAGGTCATCTCTCGCATTGGAGTAGGTTGTGACGTAGGCTGTGTTTGCAGGAGATTTTCAATGCATTTGACGTATTCTTTCAGAGCGGTCCCTTCGGTGAAAATTAGCGGTCTTTCTGTCACTTCTACGCTTTCTATGGCTTCGATTATCTCTAAATAATTGATTATTTATGTAACGGAGGAGAGTCATTGTGATTGGGTCTCACTTTGTTGACAAGACGCTGAGCAAATTATGATGGATGCTTTCGAGATCTTCAATGAATGCATAAGAGATTCTCCACGGAGGTTCGTATTAATCCATGCAGAAATGGCGCCTATCTATTGTTCAAAGCATTGGGCATGTTTAGAAATTCGGAACAGTCTTCAGAACAGAACTGTATACCTTTGCGCACCCAAGCCAGGCTCCTACAAAGTGTACTCCATTCTCCATGCATATAGCAACAACGTCACCACCTTGGATAGAAGAGCTCTTCTGAAACCTATGCTTGAGAATCAACTAACATTTGTGTCAGCGCAAAAAGGTATTCCTCGCCTGCAGCATATGACCGTACTGGCATGCGAGTTTGTCTAACTCCCTGAATGTGAATGACTTCTCGAGAGTCAAATCATAAATAGCTTCCTGATAGGTATAGATATACTTTTGACTCACGTGAAATACTTTTGCAAACCTTTTCAGGGTTCTTGAGCACCGTGTCCAAAAACAGCGATTGTATACCTCGATTCTTCCTTAGAGCGCGAGAACAACGTAATCGCATTCTGATAACAATCATAAGTCCTCTGGAAACTTGATAATGTAAAGAAGGGCGGAAAGTAACTTAATCCCACCTAATATCTCTGCTAAATGTTTGCAGCAAGCGCTTGAAATATTCTGATTCCTTAGGAAGCACCACGAATATAACAACCAACGAAATGAGAAGTATTATGAGGTAAATTGCTGTTATAATAAGCAGCCATGGTGTCATGTCTGTAAGCGTTACTCGTTTTAGTCTCTCCTCATTAGTCTTTAGAACTTCATGAAAATAATTTTGCAACGAAGTTGAGATCAAGTGCAGGTGCGATTTGTTCACTAAGAACGGTGTGATGTTTGAGAATCTACTGCGCAAGTTATGAGAGCTATTGTTCTAATGACTATCAACACTGCCAAATCAATTTTCAGGAAGCGAAGATCTAGAGAAAGTAGACTGAACGAAAAATAGACCACCAGAACAGCAAGACCGTCAGAACATTTGTTTCAGATGTAAGAAACTGTCACAAACAAGTCCAAGTTTTTTCTAACTCACCACCACTGTCAGCACGTAAGAGACTGCACGTTTGATACAGGTTCTGCCGTAAATTAAGCAAAGGTTGAGTAGAAAGATCAAATGTGGAGAACTAAATTTTCCATAGCGCCCTAGCAGTATTGCCAAAACAAATACATTTTAGTTGCTTGCTCGTTCTCAATGTTGCCTTGTTCAGAGTTCAAGAAACAACGACTACTTTTGCACAGCGACTTGTTAACAAAAAAGCATACTTAAACAGAACATTCTCTATCATTTTGTTTGCAATATTGAAGAGCAAACCAAGGTGGCAGATACTCAAAAAAATTACGGTTTTTGATGAACGAATCAAGCAAATGAACGATGGTACCAAGGCGCTCAAGCAAAAAGTATTGTTACAGTATGGAACAAATGCCGCCCAAAAACAGAGTTATCGAACCGCAGTAAACACTAAAAATTACCATACTTTCGTGTAGGTACGTAAACAACAACAAACACTGCTTATAACACCGCCCATACAAAGTTAACAGTTTTTTCAATCGTCTTGCTTATGTAGGATCTGAAAAAACTAATGTTCTCCTATCTAAGACAAGGTTCTACATCTATCCCAAGTTCTTGCAGGTTGGCTTCGATTTTGTTTGCTTACTTCATTTTGAGCCTAATTCTGGGTCTTTTGCCTGATATTTCCCCGCTCCACTTCATTTTCCGCATGCAGGCTACATCGACTCGCCATGTCCTCAAGAATTTTGCCAACCCTCGAGATCGAGAGGTGATACAAGTTAGATTTCTTTTGCACAATCACAAATCCGGCGTAAAGTGGAATTTACTATGAGTCGAGAACATTGAAGAATACAAGGCCGGCGCAGGAGAAGTCGCACGTAGCTCCAGTTCAATCCTAATTACGAAATCGAGCGCGAGGTTAGGGTTGAGCCAGACTTCACAGCGCACATGGCGTATGTACGCGGTGTACGCAGCGTACGCGCACGTGCATAAAGATATGGGGCGTATGCTACGTACGTGCACTCACGTACGCCGCGCACTCTGGCCCAACCCTAAGCAGACTATCATGCGTTATGGGAGGAGAGCGGAAAGAAGCTATGAAGAGCACCTCATAATCGATGTTTTCGATCGGCACCCCTCGTTTCCTGTCCACTACTCTAATGCGAGGGAATGGTCAGAACTCAGCGCCTAGTCAATCCCAGCAAGTTCAATACCATCAAATTCCGCCTCATATCTTTGTGCACATGTGCGTAAGCTGCGTACGCAGCGCAGTCGACCCGACTCTCAAAGCTTTTATGTAATGTGCATGTTGAATGGATAGTCTCCAGAAAACACGTAACGAGGCCCTGAATTTGAGCCAAACTTCGCAGCGTACGCAGCGTATACTCCATATCTTAAACGTGCACACTACGTACGCTGCGAAGTCTGGCACAACCCTGACGCGTAACTCTCATCGCGTCTCTTTTCCAGACTATATCACTAGTGCAACCCTATCAATCTCTGATTAAACTGGGCTATGAGTGCTCGAGGATAATGGTACTGGAAGATACTACATACTTGTCTAATATTCAGAATCTTCAGCAGTTTGCTACTCGAAACAATCACAGAAAGAATGCGTTTATATCAAATGAGCAAGGATTTGTACCATAGTCATAGCTTGGGAGAAGACTAAAAAATCCGTAATCGAATGGATAACCTGGCATCTAGTGATAACTTTTGAGTATTGTCTTTTGAACTTATTATGGTGTTATATGCATACGGAAGAGATTAAAATACTTGCTTTTAAGATTTGGGATTGTATTGTTTTAATTGAGATTTGCAAGAGTTTTGGAGCGTGATCTCATCAGTCGGGCTTTAAATTTCTTGAATTCATGATTAAATCAAATTTTAATCACAAGTCAGACAAATTTCTTGCAACATAACAATTATTAAATCTTATCCAATAACTGGTGATTGAATCCCCATTTGCTAACGTTTTCGGCCATCTAAGTACAAGATCGGGTAGGTGTCTAGAGCATTGCATACCTACTCGATTCTGCCTGACTGATGCCTATCTGGCTCTTGTACGGTCAAGCGCCCACGTTCGCGCATTAGGCCTCGGACAGAGTTCACGCGGTTTGATCGTCGCTATTCAATCGCCGCGATTTCCATTCATTTTCATCTTACATTCAAAAATTTCGGGCTGGAAAAGTATCACAACCGAAATGCAAGCTGGTCGGCATGCAATGAACTCGTAACAGTTGTCTCGTCGCGACTGAATCGCGACGATCAAATTGTGTGAACTCTGCCCGAGGCCTTAGGGGCTTTAGGCGCCCGCGTATGACTGATTACGAACTGTACGGGAACGCTCACCCGACTAAGACATTGATACATGCCGCCCCAGATATGCTTTGAACCTTACCAAAACATAGCATGGATTCCTCCAAGCCGCACGGCAAAGTTTTCCGCCTCTGTATCCTTAGCCTCATGCATGAGGAGGGTCCAGCCGCTGGTGGATCCCAAACGCACTGATCGACTGTCACTAATCAGAAAAACCAGGAAAAAGTTCGAAATTGGTTAATACTTTAGTACAGTACAAAGTACAAATCCCTCCTGCCAATGACGACTTCCGAAAGAGTCGCCTTTTGACATACAGCCGTCCTTAGTGTTAGGCCCGTAGTAAACCTCCATTCATCTCAGGTGACTTGAGATTAGCCATTCAGAAGAACTCCCTCGGGTGAACCTAATCCCGCCCACCTGCCTGTGCTGTAGGATAGTCAGTTCAACAGTCAGAAGACTGTCCGGTTAAGTGTCACAGTTAGTTATGAGGATGCCACTTATCCAAGGTTGAATTTTCGGGTGACCCGAGAGAGATAGTGAGGAGGATCAGACAAATTTCCCCTAAGTTGCTCGTGAGTAACTGGAGAATTCAGCTGACGTACTACTGCGGTAAAATTCCCAAAATTGCACAAAAGCGGCCTAAAGGATCAATGAACAGCTGATAGCGGAGAGAAAAGCAAAAAAGCAGGGGTTCTTCTTTTTTCAGGGCTCGCTTATGTTCCTCTTTCAAAAACTGCTTAAAGCAAGGATTTTTGATTTGCTTCATTTGTTTTATGTTCCAGCATTTTCGTTTTTTCGTGATATCTTCGTCAAAATATGATTATTTTGTTTTATTCACTTGTTTGCTTGTCGATATCCTTGATAGCGTCGCCATCGATTTTTTTCGATAATGGCCGCTATCAAAGATTCTCCTGCGGTGGCGCAAAGCCGGCTAGTGGCGCAAAAATGTGCCACTAGCCGGCTTTGAACCATGGATATTCGTATTGAAACCCATTCACTTAGCCGTTCGACCAAACCGCCCAAGGGGTTTGGTTTTCGAGAACGCACAAGATCTCTAGATCTAGAAGGCTATCCGAATCCGGATCGATGGCTCACCGGATGCCGGACTGAGTCGTTTTACGTTCAACGTAGGCCCGCCCCCAGCCGAGTTGCGCTGAGAGGAGGTTTACTACGGGCCTTAGACACATTCACCAATATTTTGCTATTCCCATCCCACATTGTTCCGTTAGTGTAGATCAATCGCTTCTTTTGACATGTGCTTTGCAACGATATTGGGCTATCAAATATGTTGCTTCTATTAATGCCAAAACGTTATCGTTTTGCTTACGCACTCAAATATGCCTCCAACATCATACACGAAAATCATTCGTTCGAGTGTTGTGAAGACTCATTTACACATTCTCTCCGATACTTACTAGCTTCCGTCATAACATGAATTAACGCTGTTTTTAGATGCGTGCTTTGCAATGATATTTCGTTATGCTATTCCTACTGCTGTCGGATTATTATGTTATCATTTTGCTTCCATACGGTGCAAATACGGCGCATCCTATTGCAGAAGTTATTCGTTCAAGTGTTTCGAGGACTCATTCCCGCAATTTATCCCAATCCATCGGTTGCTGCTTTTTGACCAGTTTTTTGAACATTCTCGTTCATTATCGCGCTAATTGCAGCTATTATTATTGCTGCCTCGCTCGCAAAAAGTCAGAGGTGTTTTGGATTAATGCCAAAAATCCAAAAATGAATAGAAAGAGTGTATCGCCATCACGCAGTAACTCGCTCCTTATCAGTCCCTATGCGCATTCGAATATGAGGTCAGGTCATCGCGGCACATATAAGAGAGCTGAGGCGTAGTCTTTTATATAGGTGGTCTTCTGACTTCCGCTTTCTGTTATATAAGCTTAGTATGGTTTTTGTGATTCTGACGGTGTTTTCGCATTTGCTTTCTCTCGAAGATTATTTTGAGTCTTTTCTTGTCGTCTGAAGGAATGGGTTGCTTATGATCTCGACTTCCAGGCCTCGAAGAAGGCGAAAGCGCCGAAACGTTAGCCGTCAATAAAGAACTGTAACAATCTTGGAATAACGCTCACACACCATTTCCACAACTATCTCAATCCACTTCCATATCAAAAGTACGTTATGCACATTTTCCACCTATCGTATATGTAAGGTCGTTTCTTTAGCGTGCGTTTCAACGAACTTTTTAGGTCCAGCTCGATAGACGCTGATCTTGCTAATTGGAAGTTGCGATAATCTAAAATTTTCTTTCACCACTCTCTTCAAATGAGAGCTGCTGCTTGTTTTACTCCAGCGCAATATCGAAAATACGATACAAATGAGAGATCTGCACCTATCAAGGCTTCTTTCAAGTGATATTTTGAAGATTG